GAGCAGAGGTAAAATGCTGATGCAAGCAGGTGTGACATAGTGCTAAAGCTACACTCAGACAAACCCTGTATTTACTCCAGCTGCTCTCTGAGATCTTCATCCACCGGCTTTCAGAGTCTGTAGACTGACACTGGTCGTTCTGAACCTACGGGAGGGGGGAGAAAAGAGAGAGAGGTCACCAAATATTCCTCCTACACACAGAACTCTTTTTCAACAACAACAGTCATTTTAAAGCACTTACAAAGAACTCAAAGTAGACACTGTTGTCAGGGTAGAAATACTCAAAGGACACAGTTCCAGGTTTCTTCAGGCTCACGGCATAGGACAGCACGGCAGTGCACTCATCTGTGTTTGAGGCTATGTAATCACCTGACGGTGTCCATGTTGAGCTGGAAAAACATCAGCAGCAGAAAGAGTCGGATGAGCTTCTTGAAACCAAGAAACAATGAGGATTTCAGTCGATTCATTAAGCTAAGACAAAAGAGACAAAGACTTTTAAAATAAAATAAGTGAGGTAGAGTGCATACTGACTTTGAGCAGTCTGTGTGGGCATCCCCGCCACTTGTTGTCACCCCGTGGGTGACAAAACCTGTCGGTAGGCTGTCCCACTCATCGAAGGCTACACCGGTGCCCAGAGAGTAGGTGCCTGCAGCACACTTCTGGCACTGCTGCGACTGCATGGCCAGGAACTCCCCCTCACTACAAGAGAAGGCTATAAGAGGAAAAAGACCAAGCAAGGGCAGAGAGGAGAGGTTCATGGAGATGTGGCAGTGAACAGATAACAGTTCATTATTTACATGTTAAAGCTGTTTTACATGTAAAAGGAGGGAACTCACTGCACTGAGTGCCTTTCACTGGATCTGGTAGACCTGTGCATGTGTCCGGTTTGTTGGGAACTGCCACTCTCCATCGAGACCCGAGTACGTCGCACTCTGTGTACTCAAAGTGATAGTCTGACTGCAGGGACACAACACAGCTGTGAGTTTCACACAGCCGGATAACAAAAGCACTATATGCACAGCATGAATAAATTATATGGAAACATAAAGATGAAGGGATACAACTAATGATTATTTTTACTATCAGTTAATCTGCCAATTATCTTAATTATCTTCAATATGTGAGAAAATACTGGAAAATGCCCATTTTAATTTCTCAGGGCCAAAGTTGAAGTCTTCAAATGTTTTGTTTTGTCCAACCAACTGTCCTAAATCCAAAACAATGATAAAGAAATGCATCAAATCCTCACATTTGAGACGCTGGAATCAGAAAATCTTATAAAAACTAATCTAACATCAAAGTTGTTGTAGATTAATTCTTTGATCATTGACTAATTGATTAATAGACTAATTGTTGCAACACTACAAAGGTTGCAAATCAACATGCATGAGGGGAGGAAATGAGGCTGTTGGTAGAAACAGGTTATCTGCCTGTTTTAAACTTCTGGTCAGACCAGCCTCTTTTACAAATAAAAATGGAGGCTAATATTTGCCAAGGCAGCCGTTTTAATCTCACTCATCAAGGATGTGCTGAAGCTCCAGCCCCTTCAGGCCTTATTTACTTGGCCAAGGGGGAGAGATGGTGATTCATCCAACCCTTCTGTAAACATTTCACTTCAGTGTCGTCACAGAACTTCGGAGACAGCAGGAGCTCAGGTGCAAAGCTTCTGCCGTGTTTGTCTGTCGTGCTTTGATACTTACAGTAGGTGACCGACAAACACCGTCCCACCCGTAATGATGTTATTTGAGGATTGACATAACGTTAAAGGTTATCTTGTTGATCTGACACCTTCTGAGACAAGTCATGAATACAGAGCAGACACACAGTGTAAACTTAAGATTTGATCATTGGTCAACAGGAGGCTGTAATGTTCCTAGGAAGGTCATTCAGCACTAATCCAAGCCCACACACAGCCTGGTGGTGGGATTAATAGTTAACAGAAACACAGCAGCACTCTCCTCTGGCTCTGTGTGTTTTCTATTAGAGCTGCTGCATTAGCGGTGGTTGGGGTATCAGATGAACACGGGTCTGAGTGGGAGGATCTGATGTAAAAATGCACCAAACTGGGGATGTGCTGGAGCTTAATTGCCTCATTTAAACAAACATGAGGAAACCACGGCAACGGGACACGATGACCGCTGAGCCACATGGTCAATGGGCTGGCATGGAAACAAGCTCACCTGGAAAAAGTAGCTGCTAATAGGCAAACCTTTATTAGCTCACAAAACATAAAAGTCTACAGGTGTGTGGCAGCTACTACACACTCTGAAGTAATGTTCAAAGTAAATAGATTTAAAAAAAAAAAAAAGAAATGTTTTGATTATTATCAAACAGTAGGCTTACTGTTAATATGCAAACTGAAAATAGATAGAGAAGGGTGAGGAGAGCACAGCAGACTTTATGTAGCATATGGAAGATGTAGTGAGACAAGTGTCTGATAACTGTAACAACACTGAAGCGAGCACAAGTGAATGACTAATGTAATTCAAACACTTGCTGTGTAAACATATGTTCATTTCCCACACACACAATATGTTAAGGTGGCCAAACTATAGTCCCACTGTGAATGTGTCTATTCAAATCTCCCATCAGAAAATGTACATTTTTCTTTACTAGCATTTAAAGTCAGTTGTAAGTTAAAACATTTCCCTTGAACAGATCTTCAAATGCTGATGACACTGCTTCTATGGTGTTCCACGAGTTTACCTGATGTTTACCTTTGTATGTGGGCTACATGGTAAAATCAGCTGACACCTATGAGCAATTTTAACTTTGAATGGCTTTACTGCGTAAGAATGAAAATAACATGAACCTCCTCACCTCTTTGCACATCGGCAAATCCGCAGATGTTTGTGCAAAAAGCAGCCACAGCAAAAAGTGGCTCAGGTGTGTCAGGCCTCGCTGCATCGTCGCCTCCTGTCAGTGTGGAAGTGATGGTGACGGAGGAGCGGTGGGTTGACCTGCATACGCCCTCAGGTGCTGCCCGCCCGGCGGCTGCTGGAGGCGGGTGAAACAAATACTGGGAGGTGATTGGCTCTGGAGATTGTTTTTACTGTGAATCGTCTTTGAAAGACTCGCTGTTGAACCACAATAGGCTGCTGACTTGTATTCTACCTTCCTTCTGCTGGTGTTATTTGGACATGTACTATATAAGTGATATTAGTTATATAAAAAATATATATAACCGTATATGTGTGTGTGTGTGTGTGCGCGTGTGTGTGTGTATATAGGCCTATATATAGCAACTGGTGGGTTGAGGTGGCAGGTTTATAAATTAGTATTGAATTAAGTGGCCCCTTTGGCAGTGTTACACGCTGACACATTAGTTAGTTAAGGGAAAATAATTCGTAACCGCCGCTGGAAAAAGATACTAGTAGTAGTAGTAGCTAATAGTACACTGTGAAAAATACTGAGTAAGAGTCCTGCATTCAACAGTTTGCAGAAGTGAAAGTATCAAAAGTGAAAGTGGCCTATTCATTACTCATACAAAGGCTCCTTTGCTGGTATTATTCTAATATTATATTTCATTATAAGATAAATAAATATATAGTTGCCTTTTACTGTTTTACTTTTTAATTTAATTCACTACCACATATAATTACACCCTGAAAACGTTTTTAGTTTAAATCAAGTGAAAAAAACAGATGTCAGTGCAGTAAGAATTTTTACTTTTAAATGCATTTTGCATGCATGCATCTTCATCAAGCTCAGAGGCCTGGAAGTTTGAGGGCCCCCAATGACCACTGGCACCACTGTTGCCTTTACTCCCCACATCTTTTCTAGCTCCTCTTTCGACCCTTGATATTTTTTTCGAGCTTCTCGTGTTCCTTCTTCCTGATGTTGCTGTCGCTCAGGATTGCTACATCTATCACCGCTGCCTTCTTCTGTTGTTTGTCGATCAGCACGATGTCCAGTTGGTTAGCCTTCACCAGTTTGTCAGTCTGGATCTGGAAGTCCCACAGGATCTTCGCTTGGTCATTCTCAACCACCTTAGGAGGCGTCTTCCATTCTGATGGCTCGGGCCTTGTTCTTCCCATTCAGCCGACTTTTCAGGACCTGCCTTACTCTGTGTAGGTATTTGGCTGGGACTGACTTCCTTGCGGCCTCCTTACTGTTCCCATTTGCCTGCAGAATCCCAAGGTGCTTGTAGCTGTCCTGAACATCTGTAATGCTGCCTGCTGGTAGTTCAAACCCCTCGGTCCTGATCATTTTCCCTCTCTTTGACACCATCCGACCACACTTATCTAGTCCGAATGGCATTCCGATCGTTGCTGTAGATCCTGATGATGTGGATCAGTGAGTCGATGTCTCGCTCATTCCTGGCATACATCTTGATGTCATCTGTGTAGAGGAGGTGACTGATGGTCGCTCCACTTCGGCATCGGTATCCGTAACCACTCTTTGAGATGATCTGGCTGAGGGGGTTCAGGCCTATGCACAACAGCAGTGGGGATAGTGCATCACCCTGGTATATGCCGTACTTGATGGTAACTTGTGCAATTGGCTTTGAGTTGGCCTCCAGAGTTTTCCACAGCCCCATTGAGTTCTTGATGAAGGCTCTTAGTGTCCTGTTGATGTTGTACATTTCCAGGCATTCCAGTATCCATGTGTGTGGCATTGAGTCGTAGACTTTCTTGTAGTCAATCCAGGCGGTGCACAGGTTGGTCTGCCTGGTCTTGCAGTCTTGGGTGACTGCTCTATCGACCAGTAGCTGGTGCTTGGCTCCCATGGGATTGCTCCTTTCTGCGCCCTGCTCATGTATTGGGCCACGTGCCTATTCATCTTAGCCGCCTGCGTAGTTACTTTCCACCACAGTTGTAAACACCTGTGATTAATAGGCTCATTACCATAGATGTATTAGGCTATAAGACTTCTAATAAGTAAGGTCTTATAATACATCCATGCTCATGACATGTGGGAGGAGGGAAACTTCCGTCAACAATCATTTTATTTTGAAAGGTTTAAACGGAAGTTTTTGGTTGCTTAGAAACCAGGTTATAAACATACCGGGTTTAGTTACAATAGCTTAGCAGCTACAACAACAGCACCAAAACTCTGGTTTTATTATGTTTTCTGTTTGCGTGTTGTCGTATCGTCATTAAAGATGTCGCGCCGGGAACCTTTCGCCTCTCCACGGTTTGAAAACGGCTTCACCCTCAGCGGCTTCAGACCGCAGCAGGTGGGTTTGACTACTGATGATAACTTACTGTTTGTCTCAAATCCATGGCAAAGCAAAACACAAGCTAAAGGCTAAACTAAACATACATATTGGCTCCTGGCAGTCATTTTTACACTGAACATAAAGCACCTTTTCCCTAATTAAACAACATGTAGATGTCTAACATACAATTCAATGACCACAAACCAGTTGCTACAAAGTGGAGGGCCCTGTGGTATGAAGGACAAAAAATCACATAAGTATGAATAAATAAATAAATGTAGAAATACATAAATAAATGAATAAATAAATAAATGTAGAAATACAAAAATAAATAAACGTAGAAATGCATAAATAAATAAATGTTGCCAAAATGTTTTAAGAGCATGTTTAGTATTTATTTATGTATTCAATTATTTTTTTCAGCATTTATTTATTTATTGATATTAAGTCACTTTTTGTTCTTCATCAATCAAATGATGGGATTTAAAAGAGCCTGTCCTGTGCAGCAATTAAATACATCAATACTGTAGGAAAAGCAGACAATACTTTTATCCTCCTCCACAAATTTTTTTATATTTCTAAGTGCGATACTCCTTCACGTGCAATATTCTCTTGTGTCCTTTTGTCTGTTTTGTGTGTGTTTACTGTTTGCACTGGTCAGGAGTAGCTCTCATTCATTCATTTCATTGTAAATTTTTGTACGACAATTAAGGATTTCTATTCTATTCTAAATACAACCACAAAATTGTCAAAAACTGAGTTTTTCCTTTAAGGCAACATTTCTTCCAAACATTTTACATTTTGAATATAACTTCTAAATTCTGAGGTGTGCTTGTTCACTGTTACAGAAAGCAACATTCTTGTGTTACATGTTTCAGCTCCGTCATTGTTGGTTTATTACTGTATGTGGATTAAGTCTAACAAAATTACCATCTATGGTGAATAAAATCAAATAATACAAATCAATTATTAATGAGCACTATTGTGGCTCTATGTAGTCCACTACATTTGCAGGATTTTATTCTAAAGCAGGTCCACACTGGGAAAACTATCACCTGAACTTCATCAATTTAGGTCTTAAAATGACCCTTAGGAATAAAAGTTGACCATCATGTTATGTCCACAAATAGATTTGGTGATAATTTCTTTGTAAATTTGGAATAAATTTTTCCTCCTGACCCTTTGTGCAGAGAAAAACATACAATAAACCAACACACATCGCCCAGACAGAGGAACCCTGGAGTCACCTCCATGATGCAGCCACTTTGGCCAGCACCCGACGGAGCGTGATGCATTATGAGCACCAGGTGAGCTCCAGGGACCACGATTTTGACCTTCATTTATGAAACAAGAGAAATATTTAAAGGCAAATACACCTTCCATGCTCTGAATGCACCGCTCTTTTCTTAACATCAGGCTCCAAATGACAGCCTCGACTTCCATCTTAAGTCGGTCCACGATCAAAGCAAGGACTTCCTCAGGAATAAGAGCCAGATTTTATACCAGAAAGAGACTGTCCAGGACCACAGGTGTGTGTGTGTGCGTGTGTGACATTAAGGTCGTGGACTGTCTGTTCAACGTCACTGTGGCATTTCAGGAGTCTAATTCAACCATGATCATTTATCATTTTTCATGTTAATTTGCAGGAAACAGGAAAAAATAAATCAGGACATGCTAGAAAAGGAACAAGAGAAAGAAATCAGAGTGTGGGTTGACCCACAGAGGCGCTCCATCTACAGCATCAAGTGAGGCATCTGGCTTTGTCTGGAGCAAAGTGTGTCCCAAATACCAATACAATGCTCTACTTTTCCTCCACAAGCATTTTCAAACAAGGGCATCAGCAGGGAGAACGATGGCAGCTTCTATTCTACATGAAGCTTCCACTACCACTGTCTCCAACCGCTGCCAACATCAACAAATAAAGAAGTTCTTTCAGTACATTTTTCTACTGCTGGTGTTTTTCCAAATGACACACAGTGAAAACTAGATACTGAAAGGTGATTCATGGATTACAGGATCACTTTAACCCCAAACTTCCCAATAAACACTGAAGAAAAATAAACTCACTCAGATGTCACATTACTGGAATATTTAAATGGCCAAGTGGATATTTAATGAAGGTAAAAATGAAGGTATATTTCCACATAGTTTGGCTTTTAATGCACAATAGTGCCGCTTTTTTACTTTCCAGAACATATCTTTACCCACTTAATACTGCACTGCATACTGAAGCCGTATTCAAGCCAAGCATACAAGGTATCACATACTGAATGACTATTCTAAATAAATTTAACATTTAGAACAGAAACAGCAGAACATTTTATTCAAACATATAAACGTGCATATTAACTCCTTAAGGTAGAGGTGAAACTGTTGTACATTTTTTGTATTATTAAAAGAGTTAACATGTTGCTGCATAAACAGACGAATGTGCAAATGAGGGAACAACAAATATGCTCAGTGCATATTTCTATTTTCAGTATAGGCGTTTTATAAATGTCCAACCCATTTGAAAACTCCTCAAGAAGTGACAGGACATTGTTGGTCTGTATATGACCCATCCACAGTGCAAAATTATATCGTTCCCCTTCAAAAGGTTCATATAAAATATTCTCTCTGAAATAACAGAAACTTTTTATCGTATCATGTAACATCACTATCAGATTTACAGTCGTATATTTTGAAACTAAGCGAAGCCGTTCAGGTCAGGTCGGCCTCGTGGATTCATGCCTGGGCTTTTCTTTGGAGACACCGTCTGATGAAAGCCTTCTCATCCCACTGGTTCGGGGGAAGCATGTGGGCGCCGTTATGGACGCACAGGATGGTCATTTCCTCGGCGTACTGAAGATTCTGCAGCAGCTGAAAAAAAAAAAAAAACCACAGCAGGAGAGAAAGTTCAGGAAGATGAAGAGCACAGACTCTCGTGGGAGATATGCAGTTTCACATGAAACATTTTAAACCTGCATGAACTAACTTCTTGCCCACTTGGTTGCTGCAGGCAACAACGATAGAACTATCACCTTTAAGTTGATAAAAACAAACATTCATCCAGATATGAAGCAAAATTAAGATTCATTTAGACTCGTGTTTCTGGCCACCAGTCAGTCCAGTATTTACTTTTTTGTCTCTACCACCTCCTGAAGGAAACATCTGTCTCCTCAGCTGCTAAATGTTCACCAGCTTGTCGCTAACTTTGTCTGTCTGCTGTTCGGGGCTGAGCAGGTGGCTTACTTTGGCTTATTTTGCTGAATACAGCTGCAGTACAGTAAAGTAAAGTTGTGTCTGGACAGCTAAACAATGAAAGCTTTTTCAACTGAGGGATAATTCTCTGCAAGTTTGTCACTACAAGTAATCATGTGATTCATTGTTGATATAAAGAAATTGATTACAGCTGCTTTAACAACACAAAATATATAAACAGATGCACACCTACACACACACACACACACACACACTCAATGACGTCAGTCTCTTGTTCCCATCTGACCTTTCACTCCTTAGGAGGTAAAAAACCCCCCCAAAAAAAACCACTCACTTTGGGTGTTATGAAGAAGTACTGGGATGTTGTCTCTTTGCAGGCCGTGCGGACCACAATGTCAAAGACTCTTCTCTCATTTACAGGATCCATTCCCTACACACACACACACACACACACACACACACACACACACACACACACACACACACAGCACACACACACACACACACACACACACACACACACACACACACACACACACACGAGACACACACACAGTAACAGTAAGTAAGCAGTGACTGTTGTATTAATGCTGGCAAGATGCTCATGAAATGAAGCAAGTGGGTGAAATAAATAAATAAATAATATATTTTTTTTAAAAACTCACATTTACACACTCAGTTACAATTGTGTTATAAAATCCTCGAACACAGGACGGACATATAAACTTAGTTTGTTTGTTTTCGAGGATGCATGTGGAGAGAAAGGGAAAATTTTGCTGCTTTGCTAAAAAATGATTTTAGAGAATTAAAAGCTCACTTTAGTTAAATCACAGAACAAACCAACATGAAACATGATTCGCACATTTTCCCCTCATACTCGTACATTCGCACATTTTCCCCTCATACTCGTACATTCGCACATTATTCGTTTATCAACTGTGTGAGTATGTGCTGCATTATTACCTCACTGTGGCCTAAATTTGGTGGAAAGTTAGGTCATGACTGAAGGAATCAGTGCTATAGCGCCACTTCATGGCCATTTATGAGGCACTTTAAGGCAGTCAGGGTATATCATGTTATTTTCCACCTCTTTGAATTTTGCTCATTTTCTATTTTCATGCTTCGGTGCTGTCCCTAAATTACTGTATTTCTGAGCAAAAAAAAATACCACAAAGGTTTTTTAAGCATTCTGAGCTCATTCCTCTCCCACTTTGTTTAATATACACTTGGATTATTTTTACAGAATTGCTCATTTAATTGCCCAGCATTTATCATTTTAAAGACTGTTGTTAAAACATCATAACAAACTCTCGTCTTCAGTTAGAGTGTGTTGAAACTGAACGTAATGCACTGACTTGACCACAGAGACTGAAGTGGTTTTGTTTCTTCTACAATTATGCAAACCCCATGCCTGGTTCTCATGGCAATATTTACATCAGCTTCAGATGAAGCTCAAGTTCATGTTGTCAAAAAAGAAAAAGCTGTGTGACTTTCTGTTTGTGTGTGTATGTGTGTGTGTGTGTGTGTGTGTGTATGCACTACCTGGTTGATCTCATCCACCACTCTGAAGGGGCAGCGGTTGAGCTCCTGCAGGGCCATGAGGTAAAGCATTGTGGAGACGCTGCGCTCTCCTCCGCTCTGATGGTACGCCGTCAGCTCGTGGAGCTGAGTGCTGCTGTGAAACTTCACCCGGATACGGATCCCGTATTTGTCATACTCCTCCTGCAGTGGGCAAACAGCAGCCATTGTTTTCATTTAATGACCTCAAGTGTCACTTTCAAATCCTACACATTTTAATTCAAACACGTTCACATGTTCTATGAAAGCTTCTATTCTTCTCTTGTTTTCTTTTATAATCAATCATCAATCTCAGTCATCTTACCTCATCAATCGCTTTAAATAACTAATCTCTTAAATACTCTCGACCACTGGGATCCACTTTTAAAAGGCAAGTTGTGCGACGAGGCACTGTTTAAAACGTCTGATCTGGGGCCAGTTTCATGAAAGCCAGACTTGTAGATAGATAGATATAACAAATAGTCAGACTTCAGATAGACGCCTAGATTCATCTGTTGCGCAAAGCAGTTTAGTTCTTCACCATCTTTAGTTGGACTGTGGTACAATGAATTCTGGGTAAATTAAGACTTTTTTTTAATAGTGAAAAAAAAAGGCTGAGTGAGGAACTGCATTCAGCCGCTCAGCAGAAAATGTTTGCCTTTTGGAGGAATCCGACAGTTCCAAGGACATTTCACCTGAAGCAATGAAAAGAAAAATCTGATTTGGTCTCTAAAAACTCTTTCCCTTCTTTTTTCTCTCTCCAGAACAATGTTGGCAAACTGCAAATTATGAGCCATGTGTTCCTGTTTGTTGTTGTTGGGTGCTACTAGTCAGCGCAGGTGTCATTGATTGTTACCATGGTAACATTGGTCTTAGGTCTGAGGGGGTAAGGTTATAATTAGTCAGTCTCAATTTTTGTGCATTAGACTAATCTATGAGCAAAAAGAAGACTGAGCTAACACCACAGACCAGTCTGAAACATCTTTGTCAGTTACAGAACGTACGGTAATGTAGAGAAACGTGTAAACAATAAAACACAAGACATTTAGAATTTCGATAAAAATGTCATTATGTAATAATGAATATTTGGTGTAATGGTGGGAGTCAAAGGTTGAATCCAGGTTTTACAATGACCACATCCACATATCACCGAAAAAAAATAAAATGAAATGGCCACTAAAATCATCCCTGAGATGTCAGATCAAGTGTGTGTCCGCACTGACCTCGTTCTCTGCGTGCAGATCAACCTCTCCTGCACACTGCATGGAACGAAAGAAGTCGCTGAACTTGTCATTTATCTGTTCCACCAGTTGCTTCAGAGGGTTCAGCCAGCGTTCCTTCGCCTGTGACACAAAAGAGCTCATTATACACCCACTTACACACGGGACGACCACTCAGTCGTAACATTGGTGACAGAATGAGCCGGTGGAGCTACGGCAGTAACACAGTCATCACCTCTGATATGTTCTGCCGGTAGGCGTTCAGGGCGTTGCTCTTGTCTTCCAGCTCTTTCTCCAGATTTTTGATTTCCTGCTGTCTCCTGTTGTACTCCTCCACAACCTTCAGAGAGAATTCACGTGACAAACATTTACACTCTGGAAAACGTGAGAAAACCTGAGACAATAGATACATTGCTGCACTTTAAATGACTTATAAGGTCTGATCACACTTTCCTGTTGTAAAGGTCTAATGTTTCCAAATCACATTTTCATAACATGAGCATTGTCCTTTATGTGCATTTTTCCTAATTATTGGTGCCAGTTTTAAAATCATGACTTTACTGATATTCAACTTGATGATGTCATTTTTCTCCCAGTTGTGGAAGAAAATTAAACAACAAATCTGTATTTTCGTCATGGATTTCCAGGCCGGAACAGCTCATTCTGAGCGGGAGAAGGCGGGCTCAACATTTCTACTCTGCTTTCTGAATTAATGAATTAAGCCATAATTATGTTTTTTTTTTTTAAGAAATGAAGCCCTCCTCGGGGCAAATTACACTTTCACTGAGGCCAGTGAAGCACTCGGCTCTGGACCGCTCCTCGTTCAGCATGGCATCAATCTCGTCCAGTGTGTCGGGCAGCTTGCTGAAAGCCTGCATTGACAAAAAAAAAACAAAAAAAAAAACACGCACCATTAACATTTTACAAACTATTATCAATGATATCCCCCACAGCTGTGAT